GGACAAGAGGCTCTGAGAGCTGTGATCAGCGATCAGAGGAACGCGGGGCCCGGCGCTCATCCGCTTTGTGTGCGGGGAAAAAACATAAATAAAATAAAATCCCAGCTCCTGGTGGCCTCCGTGACACTCGGCTCTAATGGAGAAGCGGATCCATCTCGCTAATTAGGGGTGAGGTGGGAGCAGGGGGATGGCTCGTCATCGAAATGAGCTGAATTCTGTTCCAGAATGAGGAGGGAGGGAACGGTCCTGCCCCTGGCTGTGTTTGGAGCAGCTCGGAGCTCCCGGCGGCAGCGCTGATCCCGCTCCTCTCCAGAGCTGCCCCGGGCCGAGTTCCCGTGGTCCAAGCGGGAATCCGGGGGCTAAAAGTGGGGTGGAGGAGGGGGTGCAGGAGCGCTGTGCCAGGACACCCTCGCTGCCCCTTCTTCAATCCCAAATCACTGCTCTCTTTTCCCACTCCTCCCTTTTCCCATTTCTCTCTTTTCCCCTTCTCTTTTCCCACTCCTTTCCTTTCCCATTCTTCTCTTTTCCCACTCCATTCTTTTCCCATTCCTCTCTTTCCCCATTCCTCTCTTTTCCCATTTTTCCCATTCCTCCCTTTTCCCATTCCTCTTTTCCCGTTCCTCTTTTCCCGTTTTTCCCATTCCTCTTTTCCCGTTCCTCTTTTCCCATTTTTCCCGTTTTTCCCATTCCTCTTTTCCCGTTCCTCTTTTCCCGCTCCTCTTCTCCCATTTTTCCCGTTTTTCCCGTTCCTCTTTTCCCATTTTTCCCATTCCTCTTTTCCCGTTCCTCCCTTTTCCTGCTCCTCTTTTCCCGTTTTTCCCGTTTTTCCCGTTTTTTCCGTTCCTCTTTTCCCGTTTTTCCCGTTTTCCCCATTCCTCTTTTCCCGTTCCCGGTTCCCACTCGGTTCCAGTCTCTTCCCCCGGGTCATCCCCACTCTCACTCATCCCTCCCCTTCTCTTTCCTCTCCCCTGGCAGGGTTTGAGGGGTTCACACGCACCCCTGGCAGGTTTGAGGGGCTCACACGCACCCCTGGCAGGGTTTGAGGGGTTCACACGCACCCCTG